GAGTTATACATGCTATCCATATTATGAGAAAATATCTGTAATTAAGGAACATTAAATCAAAGTGATAAGGCAAGTAAATCAAAGTGATAAGGCAAGTGATATGATATCCAATTTTCTTTAAAATTAAATCAAAGTGATAAGGCTAGTGATATGAAAATCCGATTTTCTTCAACTCCTTTGAAAGATAATTTTTTCAATTTTTAAAAACTCCATTTTGTTTAAAAATTCCATACAAATCGGTCATCTGTATTTAATTCCATACAAAAATTTATATTTAAAAAAACGGAATTGAAATCGGTCATTTGTATTTAAACATAAAAAATCCGTGATCTAAAAAAAATCCATGAAAATCCGTGATTTCAACATTAAAAATCCATATAGTCTGGAATACAAATCGGTCATCTGTATTTAAACATAAAAAAAAAAAAATAATAAATATGAGGCCCATATTAAATTGGCAAAATTTTTACATAACGTTAAGTCTACTTATTGTACTCTTAAAAATACATAATAAACCCACTTCTTTGTATTAATTTATAACTTATTATTAATAGACTAATATAAATAATATATATTTATATTATAATAATCAACTGATCAATTATAATATATATAATTTTTTACATTATATTTAACTATCCAAATCTTACAAAATGGTATCTTCGATTGTTCCAAAGTTCGGTCTTATGTGACGTCATGAATGGTATTGTGACGGTCTTAAAAATATATATTTTGTTCGATAAAATTTAATGTTCTTAGACTTAGTAATAGATTACTAGGAAAATAATTGCTTATTAATTATATCTTTCGTATTCTTCTATACAATGTGTATGAGTTCACCCGCTTTTAATGGATCATCTTTTATTACACTACAAAACAATAATTAATTGGAGATTTTTTCCTCTCATTATCAGAGTGTGCTGCATACACATCATAGTCTACCATTATCAGATTAACAAATGATATATTGTGTTTCAATTCATGCTTCAATTACATAATATACTTTACTTAGTTTTTCTTATATTAATAGATAATATATAAAAAGAATGATTGCTTGAAACATGTCGTTCTTCCGCACCAATAACTCAGGTGCTCGAATACAAGATATTGACAGTAGATCACACTGTTGAAAAGGTCCTGACTCCAAGAATTAATACCACTCAATCAGGTCTTAGGGTTCCATTTACGTTCAAGCGGCGACAGTTCCCACTTATGTTCATATGTCATGGCTATAAATAAGAGTCAGAGGCAATATTTCTCGCACGTTGGTCTGTTCCTCAAGAATCCTGTTTTTGGTAACACGACCAATTATATATTGATGTTTCACGTGTAACAAATAGAATGGGTTGAAAATATTAGTTTGTGGGAACGACGAGTTACTCAATAATTAAACTCAAAATGTTGTGGACAATGAGATTTTTAATAATATATGATTTTTTGCGACAAACATTTTATGATTGAATAATTTTCCTACGTATTATAACTCTCTTATAAATAAATGAATGCATGTCAAATTATAATATTTTTAAAATTTATTTACCCGTGCATCGCACGGGATACGTACTAGTTATGGGTTAAACGTTGGTCAAATATCAAGCAATGTGCAAATTATGAATTATTAAAAAAATTATAAGAGTATGATAAACGACAATTTTATAGGTACATACATGTAACTTGTA